CGAAGAAATTATTCCTTTAGGAAGATAGTCGTCCGAAGGAACGCGTTTAATGAGACTGTAATACATTAGCTCCTAGAAAGCAATGAATCATCTCCAAACACACGAATCATCGTTCTTAACCATCCAGCTTTCATTCGTAGAAAATGAAATGCTTCGTTCGCAATTCAATTCGGAGTAACGTTTAATCCATTACACCTGCGGTGAGCGTACAGTCACGGAATCTCGCTCGCGCTCGATTTTCCGACAGTCCGCTCCGCAGCTCTCCTCGCGCGCGACTTTCTTCGAGTAAGTTTAACCGGTACCTCCAGGAAATGAACGGGCGCTTTCAAGGAAACCGAGGTGGAATAATATTTTCCGCTTTCGTTGCGCGCGAAACTCGCTTCCGTTCGCCGGACGCGCGCGGCACGCATCTTCGTGATCGGGTTTAACGCGAGCTTACACGGGGATCGCGTCGAATCAGACGATGGGGAACGCGATGAGCGTGATCCAGGCCGAAGCGTGACGCGTTTACACGGCCGGGCGTGCGTTCGCTCGCGAGTATCGGCCCGCGAAACCCGGTAAGCGACCACGCGGCCTTGTTTCGCGACGATCGTTACACGGGAAGCTTGTTGCGGTACGCGGCGCCCCGATTATTTAGCAACGCTTTGTTACCGAGTTGCACAATGCAGATCGTAAACCCGTTAAATGTGAAACGAGGAAGACCGAGCTCGCTCGGGTGGACCGTGAGAATGCGTCGGTCCGAAAAAAAAGAAGAAGAAGCAGCAGAAGAACGCCCCACGCGCTCGCTTCCTACAATGATGACGATGATTCGGGGTACAAACGAGGCCGCGGCGAACCCGAGACGGTTTCTGGAAAAAGGGTTGAGCCCACGGTTCTCCCTTCCGTCGGGTGGAACCGGTCTTCCTCGTCGGAATTCGTTAAAACACGGCCAGAAAGCCGGCCGATCGTTTCCAATCGTAAATCTCGTAATATGAAACGCGTCGGATCGGGGACCGATAAATTCACGCGACGGACACGTTTACCGTGGACGCTCCGCGCAGAAAGAAACCGCGGCTCCCGTGAATTTTCATTTTCTTTCGCAACATTTTTGCCGTTTCGCCCGACGATCGTGGGGTATCGCTCAAAAGAATCTTCTGCGGAGGTAGCTTCAAGCGTGGACACAAAGGTATTTTATGGGTCTCGGCTATCTTCGCTAATAATACACCGCGGAAGTTTATGGGTTTATAGCGTCTCTTAACTTATAAAGCGGAAGGAAATAAAGTTATGTGGATTTTGAAGTACATATAATAAAACTTCTGGAAGCTTTCAAATGATCTTAGTTTTTAAGTTCGAGACTCGAAATTTGCATGAATCGAATGTCAATCTGTCGAATCCTCTCTGTGTGTGGGTGTATGTGTGTGTGTGTGTGTGTGTGTGTGTGTGTAGGTTGCTTCAGTAGCTTGTAGAATACACGGTATTTAATAACAAACGCGAGTCCGAGCCGCGGAGAGAAAGATTCGTCGGGATCATTGAAATTCCGCGCGACGATCGCGCTTATCCACTTGTCGAAGTCTCCGAGCCCGTTTTCGCGTACTAATGACGTACCACTTATTAACGCGCGGTTTCTTTCGCGAGACCGGCATCCACGCGTTGAAAAACTATTTTAATACATCTAATGGAGCTGCCAGCGGGTTGAGAATCCCGAAAGGAAGCGCACGCACGTCCGTGTTTAATTATTTTTAATACGCGAGCCCCGGCGGCGCCCCGTTCGACTATCCGAGCCCTTTTTCGCGTACTAATGACGCGCCACTTATTAATCCCCGTATCTTCCATATTCTCCATATCCAGCTATCCAATTTTAATACATTCAAACCGTCGCTACTCCAAAAGCGTCTCGTTCAATTATTTTTAATCCATTTGAGAGCACGTACAAACTACTCGTTCTCCTCGTTGAATCGCCTCGTCGCTTCGAAACGAGTTCCCAATGTGTCCGTAATTCTCTAAAACACACACGTTACTTTAGAAACTCCCCGAGGTATCAATGAGAATTCCCGAACCCTTGTTCCAGAATATTTAACTCTTCATTATACGACGTCTCCGAGTTCGCAGCAAAGTTTCTCGTTCGAATTCAATGGACGCTAATATTATCCGTTTACGATAGGTTAGAATAAACTTCCATTACTTGAATATTAACACTCACCCTCCTAAGTAAACAGAAATTCTCTTTTCTCCGGCGGAATGTCGGCGACAAAGGAGCCCTGACGGAATCACGGGAGAAATTCTGAGCTACGGGGTTAATCGGCCACGCAACGGTGGGAACAAGCGGTCAGTACAATCCCTTCGGGTTCAGTCCCGTTCACGGGCAACTTTATTCCAGTAGGAAGGGAAATCCTGCGGTCAAGTGGTCAAAAGGGCTAGGGCCTGAAGCGGATTATGTCGATTTTCTTGTATAACGTGCCAGGATTACGCTGCTCGCGCGTCTGAGCCCTTTCGGCTCGTTTCGACACACTCTCTCTCCCTCCCTCTTTTCCTCTCTCTCTTTCTCCTTCGAAAGAGAGTATTACCTGAGCGGTTCCAACGGGGGCCGTAAAGTTTTACTGCGTTTTCTGGTCAGTGCGGTTTTTTCGGTCTGTTTGCCGGAAAGGAAAGGTGAAAGGGTTGTTGTTACCCCACGGCCGGGAGGGTGGGTCCGTGCCGCGCATCGTTAAAGACACACGACGAAAGGGTTGTCCCGGTGAAAGGGCACGTACAGCCGGTAAATTGTAGATTACCGTCGTCCCTTTGTTATAATGGAGACCCAAAGAGCCATTTCACTCCACGACGTCTCTATCGCCAACAGGCTCCTCGGAGGTTTTATTGGCCCTTCGAACGGGAGCCGTCGACCCTTAGGAAAATTTTAATTCGCTCAGTTGTCGCTTTGTTCGTGAAATATTGTCTTGTCCTGTTTGTTTGCGGCTTTATTGTTAACACGCACGGGAAACTTGGAATTTTTAATTCTTTGATTCAACTTTACATCGATTCTTATGTTGCTCGATTAATTGAAAGTTTTGCAAAGTTTCTTGTTCCTTTCGTTCCTCTAAGAATTTATTATCGTTTATTTCCTAGCTAGTTATTTAACTAATTGTGTTAATGAACTTTATGATTTATCACTTTTGATGTATTTTTGATAGTGATTCTGGAAGAGAAACTATGACACTTTAGTGATTAGGTATCTATAGAAGTGTTTAATACGTGGAAATTCTACGTAGATGTAATTGTTGAAGTTTAATGAATCTGATTTTGGGATAGAATTAAAGTATGCACGTTTGATTATGAATATGATTGATTAGTTTCGGTTTGAGATTAGGTAGTGGATTGTACGGAGTGTTTTATTTAAAATTCTTAGCGTTTTCGATTAGGTAATGGTCTATGAGGCTTTGAATTTCTCAGACCCCGAAGCTGGCGCCATCTTCGGCAGGTGTCCCGAAGCTGGTGAAGGTTATTTCGAGGTCTCAGGTGAGTTACCAGCCACGCAGCAGGTTTGGTACTGAAGAGACCTGCACCATTTTGAATTCCCAGCGCCGTCGGTGTTACCAATTTTTATCGGAGAACCATGTTCCGTTTCGTTCGCTCCAATGATTTTTTGTCATACGTTAACGACAGCCGATATAATGCATTTATCCTCAATGTTACAATAAAAATTAGATATTCCACGTAACATTACAATTTATCCTACCCTCAGGTTTCCGAAGGCGTAAATTAATTCACATCACAATGCAACGTTGTTTGTCCATTAAATTAAAGATCCGTTTGATTTATCTCACAATCACTGGTGAAAAATTACTCGAGTTCAAATGTCAGGATGTACAGCATAGTAGAACGTGTGGCATACTGTCTGGCGCTCGTATTTTCTGTTCGACTGGAATGAACTCTTGTGTAGACGCTTAATTAATATACCTGATCCTGGGAAGATTAAATTAACAATTTCTTAAATACACATTTAACAAAGGATAACGATATCCAAAATATTCAATTAAAACCTAATGATTTCAGTTGCATTTCAATCGAAAATCAAATGTATACTATCACTATCAAATTTATCCCACATTATCATCATTTCCATTCAATTACTATTAACAAACACTTCACGTCCAACTCAATTAATCCACTTTTCCCTGCTTCCTACAATTTCCGCAGAGAACCAATTAAGTCTTCAGGTGGCAAAGGAGCAGACAACAGCGTTAGTTACACAAATGCTTTTATTAACAAATGCGAGGGAGACAATAAATAATCGTGTCACGCGAGCGAATAAATAAGCCGAGAATCGCCGAGGAGGCGACAAACAACAACACACTCTTCGAATCAGCTCTTCGACTCGTCGTCAATCGAGCCAGGTGTCCTCCTCGATCATCAGCAATTGGCTACCGTAATGACTGTACCCATCGACGCGTACACGTGTCGCAGAACATCGAAATCTCACCCTCCAATCGAGACGCCGATCAGAGAGCACCTCGAAGCCTCTGCTAAATACAATCAACGCCGAACCGAAGCGCTCTCCGACTCGACGTCTCGAAGGGGGGATGAAACCTGCCTCCGCGGAGCAAGCGGAGGAGCGTTCCCGCAGTCTTCGTTCGATCGATCACCGCGCAGGGGCCTGATCGATGATCGACGATCATAAAGGATCGGTGCGTTATTTGGCGTGCGTTTCTTTGGTCGTGTCCATGCAGGGTTCTCGTCGTCCGGATCGAACGATCGATGGACCGTCCCACGGAATCACCTGAAAAATCTTCGTCCTCCTCGATCCCGCTTCCCCGGGAGGGAAGCGGGAGCTCGAGCGATGTATCGGCGACTCGAGAATGGCACAAAGGTTGTCTAATTAACGAACACATAGTCTGGCGTTCCGTTCGATCGGATGGAACCGATCGAAAAGGGTTTCAACGTACGCGGGAGAAGATTTTTCGACGGTGACTCGATGGAGCACGAGTTAACCGGGGGATGACGCGTCGGCGAACGATCGCCGGCGATTTCCGTGAGCGAGTCGTTTAATAGTTCGAGGGGCTGGCCGAGTTGCCTGACGACGAGGAAGACGACGAAGACGAGGACGGGCTGTACGAGCCCGAGTTGCTGTTCGGCGAGTAGTACGAGTACGCGAGGTTCTGGGCCTCCACACCGTTCGTCGGCGTCCAGACGCGGGAGTACGGCCCGTATCCGTCCCACGTGTTCGCCGGGTCGCTGCTCGACGTGGTCGAGGGCAGAGGTGGAGCTCCGTATGTCGATGAAGCCGGTTCCATTGACATTCCTGCAAGTTTCACTGTTTTCACTTTTTCTGGAAGGGAAGTGTCTCGTTCCTTTGAGAGACTTCGACGGTTTCAACCCTTCACCCTTTGCACTCGAGAGACTGAGAGTCACTGCTTTATTCGGTGCAGTAGAACTATAGAATTTTTAACCCCTTGCAGTACAATGACGAGGAAGACTCGAATGGAGATTTCTAGACCAATTTTACAAACAATGCTGTTCACACGGATCGAAGCAAACTATTTTGCCGTTATTAATGTATCATTTAAGAATGAGGTTTTTACTTGAAGTAGAATGGAAAATTTTGTTGCATTTCTTCAAAATTTTGCTATTATTAGTGTATCATCTCCGATTGAGGTTTCTAGTTGAAGTAGAATGGAAAATTTTGCTGCATTTCTTCCAAATTGTCGATAGTAAAATGTTACCTTAGTAACGAAATTAAATAGTACCGCAAGGGGTTAATATTGAACTGTTTATATCGGTGTATGAAATATTCGGATAAAAAAGCGTTTCTCAATTTTGTGATTTTTCTTTGAGTTAAAGAAATATTCACTTTTATATTTGGGAAATGTTAAGTATTTCCAGCGAAATTCTAGTGCAAAGGGTTAATCTAATGTTCATTGAAAGTACCATTTCTGATCTTGGAATGCAACGGAAGATTGTGGAGATAGAGATCTTATAAATGATTCAGCAGTGTAAAAATATTAAACTAAATGCATAAACGTCAAGTTTGATAATTTGTTTAGGTTAATGAGGTCAATCGTGCACGTGGCAGACTAGATTCCACGTCTCAGAATATTAACTTGAACTCTATTGCTACATTAAGTATCAATAATCGAATATCCATATCCAAGTTCCAAACACCCAAGTCCAATCAACAAAGAAACCAACAATACGTACCCATCGGCATCATCATTCCCCCTTTCTTGAAGAACTGCACAGCGATGAACCCGACGACGAGGAGAATAGCGAGTTTCGACAATACCAAAGCCTTCATCGCCTTCAGGCCAACAATAGCAACCAGAATCGGCATGAGAGCCTTCATCTTCAGCTTGAGTAGCAGCAGAATGGGCAGCAGCAGCTTCTTCTTGAGAATCCCTCTGGCTTGACTAGTGGCGACCTCGTTCCCCTTGAACTCGACGTCCAAATCGGCCAAGCTTCTGCTGGGCCTGTACTTGAGGCTAGCATCGACGAACGGCAAGTCGACTCCGTAGTCGAAACTCTTGAGATACTTGAAGGTCCTCGCGACAATGGCCTCGTCCACGGTGTCCATAGACCTGGCCTCGGTGCTGGTGCCGAGCTTCTCGTCCAGGTATCCGAGTACTTCGTGCTTCAAGCAGCTGGCCCAGGAATCCGCGGCGATGCACTCGTTCAAGGACTTGGAGAGGAAGTCCTGGCTGGCCAGCGAGCTCCCGGCGATCAGGATCACCACCACGGGTACGAATATCCTCATTTTTTCCGTTGCTGCTCGGGAAACTCGTGAACGAAGCGACCTCGTGGCTGCGGACGAAGAGAAGATGTCCGAAACGAAACTAAAACCTGATCGATCGTCCACCCGTGCGTGTGCGAGCGAGCGATCGGCGATCGAACTGCGACTGACGGAGGAGTGGCCCGCCCCTTTTATTTAATTTGCCCCCCGCGAATCTATGTTATTCGGTCGCGCATGCCGGGAATCGACGATCGAAGGAAAATTATTCAAATTTCACTGGCACATAGACGGCGCGCGTCCTCTCCACCTTCCCTCTCGCTCCTACCCTCCGCGTTCCTCTCCGTACGTGCGTGCACGCGCACCCGACACCGTGTCGCGGCGGTCTACGTACGCGGGGACCGACCGAGGCGCGTACACCGTTCAGTACACGATGGCATGCGGAGGCATACACCGACGCGACACGGGAAACGGAACTCTCTCGCCCCGCGTTCCTCCACCTTCTCTCCGCTTTTTACGGCCGCTCTTACTTGGCGTCCGTTCTAACGACGACGCTCTAGCGGCGGCCACCTTTGGAGAACGCGTAACCGTTCTCGTTGTACGCGCCGAGGGCACAGGGCAACGGGAACGCGCGGTTCGAGGGCGATTTATGCAAGGGTTTGGGATCTTCGTGGGATTTGGAGGATTTACGAATGTTAGAGAAATCGAATTTTTATGGGGAATGGCTCTTCTTCATAGGCGTATGGAAAGTTTGGGTTGTGTAGTTTATATACTTTTTATTGTATGCAGATTTTTTTTATTGAAGATTTTGATGAATGGAATGATTGAGTTTGTCGAGTGATGTTGGGAAGGTTTGTTGTGTTATTTGAATTTTAGACGCGTTGCTGCTTGTGTTTTTTGTATTTTGCGTGTTCGTTGGAAACTTGTAGTTTATTGATAATTGTATTATGGGAATAGTGAATGGTATTTAAATTTTATGTGTAGTACTGTATAGTTTTGAATATGTTTTGACAGGGATTTTAAGTTTAACACTAGTCCTATTTATTTACTTGTTAATTAAGAAATATTAAAATTGTATGGCTTTCTTTGTACCGAATACTTTTACAAAAATCTTATATAGATACAGATTTATCGTCATGCACTAGGCTTATCCAATCGATACAAGAATGTTTTGTTTAATCGTTTACCGATAGAAAGCAACTATGATTAGATAGCATCATTCGTTTGACAGAAGCACAAAGCACGTAATACTGATTGGTTCACAATGGAATACTGTAGTTTAGCTTCCCGTTAGTGCTCGAAGTGTCATTGGAAGCCAGAAACTTCAAACGGTACGAGATATTTTAATATTAGGTCGCAGGAAGTACGAATGGAACAGCACAAGCGAGTACGAAGAGTATTTTATTCATATCATTTCGGCAGGGAAATCAAAAAATAAATCTAGGAACATATCTTTATTAAAGAAACTGTTTTACAACGAAACACAATAACAAAAACATACAAAAGAAATACAATCATCCATAAAACAACGTACTGACACTAATTTCAATAAAATTCTTGAATTTCTCAATGAAACATTTGTAATCGCACAGTAAACGAACAATAATCCAAACAATATCGCAGAAAATTGATAATTGATATTATTTAAAAATGAATCATAACGTATTAAATATTTATCAAATACAGCAGGAAACACTCGAATGAAGAAGCCCTTCGAAATTCAATCATTCCGGTCATACTCGTTCTCCAGCCATAAAAAAACGCGATGACTACGATCCATAAAGAGCACGAGGGAAAAAAATGGAGAGTGTATTCGAAGGAAGCGTAAACCGCCGTTGAACAACGAAGACGAAACTGGATTTCCATTTTGCAAGAGGCAGCGCGAGACAAAGCGGCGCTTCCGGTAGCGCGAGGCAGTCGCGTCTGATCATTATCGGGCATAATCTCCTTGCAGAACCGGACCCCGTTGGATCTAGAGCTAGAGTCGTGAAGAATTTCACGTGTTGGATTATTTGCAACTGATCAACGGAGATTGTGTCAGTTACGGAAGAGGATTCGTGACGCGCGGCATTATCGTTAGCCGCGTAATTGATCGAATAACTCGTAAACTTAATGGGATAGTTAACATTATAAAGCGCGTGTCCGCCGATAAGGCGGCCTTACCCGCACTGTTCTGCAAACCAGATTATGGAAAATAATCCGGCAGTTTAATATACGAATTTATGAACTCTCACGAAAGAAATTTCTTTCACGGAACCACTGAAATATCCGGTATCTATTAATTGCGAAATTATGTGACAGGGCCTCTTGTAATTATAATAAGTTAAGAACTCACCTGAAAAAATAGCTTATATTCTAATTACTACAAGCTGGAACTACTTCGTAGATTGCATCGTGAAAAACGAGTCAACAGGGAGAATCTGGGATATTAATTGAAATTTCCAATCAAACGATCATTAATCTGTTAACGACATAAAGTTTCCCTTCGCGAATGAATCTTTGTAAATGTCTACAACCTGTATCCTCATTACAGCAACAAAAACCTTTCCGCCATCTAATTTTTAACCAAAACCTTCCATGAACCTATCAAACCACTGCTCTAGTTTTTCTTTCACCCATCATCGTCAAACAACACACAACAATATCCACTCAAAAGAGGGAACGAATCAACAGCGATAATCTAAGATATTAATTGAAATTTCCAATCAAAGAATCATTAATCTATTAATCAAATAAACTTTCCTTCGCGAAACTATGAATATTTCTAAATATCTACAACCCATATCATCATTAGAGCAACAAAACTCTCCTCACCATCTAATTTCTAACCAAAACCTTCCATGAACCTATCAAACCACTGCTCTAGTTTCTCTGTTTCTATCACTAATCTTTTTATCTGTTAATCTTTTTTCTCTGTTTTTATCTGTTAATCTTTTTCTTTGTTTCTATCACTAATCTATTAATCAAATAAACTTTCATTAGAACAAGAAAAAACTTTTCGCCATTTAATTTCTAACCAAAACTTTTTCGCCATCCAATTTTTAACGAAAACCTTTCCACCATCTAATTTCTAACGAAAACCTTTTCGCCATCTACTTTCTAACGAAAACCTCCCACGAACCTACCAAACCAGTGCCCTACTTCCTTCCCCCATCTCCACCGAACAACACCCAACAGTACTCCATCCAACAAGGAACGCGACAAGGAAGCAAACCAGCGACCGTTCACATTGCAAAGAATAATTTATTAAATAAAGCGTACAGAGTAGAGGAGGAAGACAGGTATTTTACAAAAGTGCGTCTAGCGTGTCCGCCGCGCGACGTTTTACGACTGCGCGTGAGCGGCATACGCGAGATCCTGAGCGTACTGCGACGCCGGCTGCTCGTCCTGGAAGGACCTGTACTGAGCCTGGTACTCCCACGGTCCGTGAGCGGAGAGCGCAGCGCCATGGCCGTCGGCGGCGATTTTCTTGCACAGCTGGAAGATCGCCATGCCGACGGACACGATGAAGCTGAAGAACGAGAGCTGGAGCGCGTTCCAGGCCTTCAGACCGAGAACACCGATGGCGAGAGGGATCAGGGTCATGGCCTTCAGGAGCACGAACACCAGGATCGGGATCACGACCTTCTTCAGCTTGGACTTGCGGGCCTCCTCGACGGCGCGACCTTGGCCGAACTTGACGTCGAAGCTCAGGTGATCATCGTCGATGTTCCTGGCGCTGACCTTGACCGAGGAGTCCATCGGCAGCTTGAAGGTCACGTCGTGAGAGGACAAGTAGCTCTGGACGTTGTCTATGAACGACGCCTCGCTGCGTCCGGACACTTCCTCGACTGGGTACGAGTTACGAGTCACTTCCACCGTCTCGGAAACCTGGGAAAATGGTCGTGCTATCAACTTGGTGAACAGGTCTAACGTTCCGTTCTCTATGGATTTCAAGAGATTGAGTTAGCTTAGGTCTAGATGGTGAAGCCTGAAGTCTAGATTCGACTAGCTTCTGGATTCAGGTATAATAAAACTTGTCTACAAAGCTTCATCTGAATTAAGCAATCAGGACACTAGCTACATCTACAGTTTCATCTAGTTAATGAGTAGCTCCGAAGGAAACTAGGAACTCTAGCTACATCTAAAGTTTCATTTAGTCAATGAGTAGCTCCGAAGGAGACTCTAGGAACTTTAGCTACATCTAAAGTTTCATTTAGTTAATGAGTAGCTCCGAAGGAAACTAGGAACTCTAGCTACATTTAAAGTTTCATTTAGTTAATGAGTAGCTCCGGAGGAGACTCTAGGAACTCTAGCTACATCTAAAGTTTCATTTAGTCAATGAGTAGCTCCGAAGGAAACTAGGAACTCTATCTCCATCTAAAGTTTCATTTAGTTAATGAAAGGATTCAAGAGGATTGAAAGGATTCCGAAGTCAAAAGTAAAAGTGTCCAAGAATGAGGATCGAGTTTGCTGCCTACCTTGAAGCTGTCCTTGCGGAAGATCTGGTCGAGAAGGTTCAGCACCTTGAACTTCATGCAGGAGACCTCGTCGTTCTTCTGGGAGCACTCGATTTTCGTCTGGTCTACCATCTGGTCCATGCTGCTGCCCTTCCAGAGATCGTTCTTCGCTGGCTGGGCGGCTGCCAGGGCAAGCGCGGCGCAGAGGATGAACAGCTTCATGGTTCTCGTTGCGTTGTCTACGTTGACTCGTGTGACCCCTGAGGAAGGTTGCTCCGGCTCGAGGACGATTGCCTGGAAACGACTGATGCCAATGGGTTGGGCATCAGGCTATTTATACGGGGCCCCCATCGGCGGATCGGCGAGCCGCGTTTGCGGAGCACCCGAACAGAGCCGCCCCCACCCACCGGCCGGCCACGAATTTTCTTTTCGTTCAGTATGGTGTTCGATTATCGAGGCCTCGACACGATCGTGACCTGCGTCGGCAAACGGCCGCTGGTATCAGCGGAGCCGTAGCTTTTCTGCGATCGACGATGTCGGCCGCTCGAGCTCTCCCCGCGCCGCTTACCGAACGCGATCATCTTTCGATATTAATGAGCGACTGTTTGCTTTCTATCGGCATAGGGCACACTTCCGTGTGTGGTTCACTCGAGGAATTTAATGGGTCTTGTGGGCTATTCGTCGGAACTTTGAAATAACTGCTTGGAACTCGGTTGATGGGAATGTCGGCGTTAGAGCTGTGTCAAGGGTGAAAGTTGTTTGAACAGGACATTTCTTTGGGTCTTCACCTTTTTATAATGTGATTGGAGATTTGCTGTTTAATGAGTATTTGTAGAGGGGTTCCTATGATTAGAATAGATAATTGTAGTATATAAAATTCTTCAATCCTTTGCGGACGATATTCCGAGATGAAATTTTCATATTTCGAAGACTAAGTCACAAACAAATAATTTAACTGCTCGAACACCAAGAGATCAGCACTTAGTTTCTGTTTTTCCTATCATTTAAGTAATTGATATATAATTTAACTTCGTGTGTTGAAGGCTTTGTACATTTCAAACAATCTTCGTCCGCAAAGGGTTAATATTCGTAAGGTCAGTAATAATTACAGTAATATAAGTAATTGAACAATGGAAACCCTAGAATCTATCTATACTATTTTCTCTCCCAATCAATTCTTTAAATTTATATTATACCAAGCTTCGAATAGGGGTTGAAGGTAAATACATTAAGAAACTAAAATATTCCCCGTTAAAATCATTTGAATTCCATGGAAGGATCATGAGTTTAAGTGATTCGTCGTCCAGATTCTACAACTCGCTCAGGAATTCGTGTAGCTCCGAATCGGGAAAAGGGGTTGAAGTGGAATATGCCTAGGCCGACATATTAAAATGTCCATTACTCCATTGACCCCGATCACGGCCTCCAATAAAACAATCACATCACGCAATAAGCTTGGCCCGAAACTTTCAAATATTCGGTCGACTGTCTTACAGCATCGGAGATAGCCGAGCGGAAGTCGCTGCGCGCGCGCGCGAGTAGAGAAGATGTCCCTTCATCCTTGGCACCAATGGCATCGTAACATTGGCATTGGAATCTATCGTTCATTCGCGCCACGAACACGACACTTTCCACACGTCTGCTCCGTTAACGCTTGCACTCTCTCCCCACCCTCGGAGAAATGGCGCGAGCCACCCTTCAATGGGTGCGCCCACTGGATCGTTTCGAAGGAACTTCATGAACACTTGCAGATTATATAGATATTATTCATCATGGAGAATGATTAGTGCTAATTACTGTGTAAGGAGTTTTAACCCTTTGAACTCTGTAGTTATAATGTTATATATTTTGATGAATATTGAAACTACCCTAAAGTTATTCGATTTTCTGCACATCCAAATTTTGTACTAAGGAAAATAAAAGATCGAAGAAATGTTGTATATTAATTTTCGGAGGAATACTGTAAAAATTAGTTGCAGTTGCTGATAGACAAAAACAACCTGGAGTGCTAAGATAAAATTATTTTGAGTACTTTGTAGTAACTATTATATTATACTATTAATAATATTAATAGTGAAATATTGAATAGTAAAAGATTTAACAATATTTTTCAATTTTAAACCAATTAGAAATATTGCTATACAATTTGCTATTTTATGGAACTTTATATTAGTGTATGGAGATTCCTTTCATTCAGAAGTAAAGAAGAATAGGTATGTATATAGCAAGACATTCTGTTTCAACACAAAAATCTCATTTCTATTTCCTTATTAACCCTTTGCACTCGAAAGTTTCTCAATAGAAATATTCAAAATCTTCTAACGAGATATAGGTCATATCGGTCGAAACTAATTTAACGATAATTCATAGATAAATTAAGCAATAGAGGTGTTTTATTTAAACATATCACGTAGCAATGCAAACTTGAGTGGGGTTAACAATTTATTCAGTCATCTTAACATACAACAACTGCCTCTTATTTACAACAAACTACAATATTCACAATAATTTACTACACAATCAATCCAATCCAGAAATCCGTCTGACAAATACGAACTGAACCGCTCGAATTCCACTGGAACCATCCAACCAACGCTCCAGCAACCTCCGCGCCGCTGAAAGGAACAATTTCACCCTCCGCTGACCCTAATTGCCGCAGGCTCGTGTCAACGGCGTTTTCCACGGGCCGTATCACGAATGCTCGTTGCGTGCGAGTTTCTCGTGCGAGAATGCGCGCGTGGGGTTGCGCGGAGACACTTCTGCCCGCTCTGCCCGACTTCCTGCCGCCCGTAACAATGAAGCAGAACGGTAATTGGAATTTTGGGTCGAGTTTGCATAAACATTCAGGCCGTGGCTCGCCTCGTCTTCCGAACACGCTTCCGAGATCACCGGCGTTCGCTATCCGCTCGTCGTTTTCCCTATTTCTCCTCCCACGATCGGCGCGACACGCGAGCTCCGCCATTACTCGCACGAGAGTCGAATAGGCTCGATCGGCCGACAAAGGAAAAAAGGAAAAGAAGGCTCGCGGAAAAAGAAATCGGGCTTCGAATTCGAATCCGCTTTTACCGCGTCGGGATTCCGAGCGACGATCGAGCCGGCTCCCCTCGATCGACTTTCTCGATTCCCTCGATCCCCGCGATTCACGTCGCGTAGGCAAATAACGAAAAAGGGAAAGTCCGTTGTTGTTCTTCGAACAAAGGCAGGTTGTACATGAGACCAGTGTAAGACAGTTTTATTATAAATAAGACAGCGCGAATAAATATTAAATAGAAGGTTCTAGGTGATGGGGAATGGTTCCGTGGGTCGGCCTATTTCCTGTAGGCCCTGTAGGGTCCGTGGGCCCCGGTGTCCCAGTGGGGAGGGTGCTCTACTGGTGGATGACCGTAGTGCACCACTTCGTAGGCTACTTTCGGCTTGGTCAGCTTGAAGATCATCATCGCTCCGCTGAGGACCATCGACAGGAGGCCAAGGGTCAAGGCTTTCCACGTCTTCAGCGCGATCAGAGCGAGCGCGAGCGGTACCAGTGCTGTGGCCTTGAACTTCAGACCCAGCAGGAATGGTATCATGACCTTCTTCACGAATCCACGGCCTGCAAGTGATTTCGGTTAATCTGCTGAATTAGTCTATTGTATTAGAGTTGGTTCATTTCGTTTTGAAGGGGATTATGGAAGGTCGTTGGCATTCGAAATTTATAGTGATCAGTTGAATTATTGAATTGTTTGAATTGAACTGAAGGTCGTTGACATTCGAAATTTCTAGCGATCAGTTGAGTTATTGAATCGTTTGAATTGAACTAAAGGTGGAATTGGAATTGGAATTTCCAGTGATTGTCAGTTGAATTCTTAAATCGTTTGAATTGAACTAAAGGTGAAATTGGAATTTCCAGTGATAATCAGTTGAATTATTGAATCGTTCGAATTGAACTGAATGTGGTTGTCATTCGGAATTTTCATCAGTTGAAGTATTCAATTGTTTGGTTATTGATTTATAATGAGAATTACGTAGGAAGTTGTGTAACGAAAGAACATTACTGAATCATTGCAATATCTTCATTCATGATTGTACTAACTAATTGAGGCATTCATTAAGTTTCCTAAGTAATTCATTATGATAGACTTTGTATCTTTTGTCTTCGAGTGCACTAGAATCATTTTGCTACCTTGTACATTCGAAGAGTCACTCAGAGGGATAGTCAAGCTTCTCGGCATGCTGTCGACGAGTGACCTAGGCACGATGTTGGACCCTACAATTGCTTCCGGTAGCTTAGCCTCGAGATGATGGCTGGATAAGAAAGCGTCCAGCTTCTCCAGCATCATGGATCTCAGCAGTTCTTTCCTGGCCGGGTCAACGGAGTCGTACTGCGAGGGGTAGTACTCTTCGCTGTTGTCTTCAGGCATGTCCCGGGACTTTACCACTGCCAGATCATCGGTGATGGCGATCCTGTCCTGTTTCGCCGCGTTGCTCAGGTACGCGAGGACCTTCGGTTTCACGCAGGACAACATCGAATCGTTGTCCACGCATCTAATAATGGTTCAGGAGAAATTTACATTGTTAAACTCTAAATCCATCGATTGATTTACTTAGACACTTATCCAATACACTACTATTATTATTATCATAATTCATCCACTTTAAACTGAACGATATAACTGAAACACTTGTAGACAAAACAAGATAGTATTAAACATTTAATATAAGCTTCCTAAATTTATATAGTTAACAAAAATAAAGGTTTCATTTAATATTAGAATCATGTTGAGATTGTTAGAATAATTCTATGATTATTTCTTTAAATATTAATAGAACGTTCTGAAATTTATATAGTTAACGAAAATAAAGATTCTATTTAATATTAGAATCATGAGATCTATGAACTCTTTCGAAATAGTAGCTGAAAATTCAAAGATTCTATTTAATATTAGAATAATTAGATCCATGAATTCGTTTGAAATAGTAGACGAAGACTGAAAGATTCTATTCAATATTAGAACCATTAGATCTTCGAACTCTTTGGAAATAGTAGCTGAAAATTCAAAGATTCTATTTAATATTAGAATCATTATATCTACGAACTTTTTCGAAATAGTAGCTGAAAGTTCAAAGACTCTATTTAATATTAAAATCATAATATCTATGAATTCGTTTAAAATATTATACGAAGACTGAAAGATTCCACGAACACCGATTTTCTCGCGAGTCTCACCTGTAATAGATACTCCGAAGGGCGTCCGCCGTGGTCTCGGTCCTCTGGGCGGCCGCGGCGGCTGCCAGAAGGGCCACGTACGCAGCTACAGCGAGAAACTTCATGGCGGTACCGATCGATTTGCGAGGCTAAACACCGAATGCCGGCTCGAACGGAGACAACCCGGTTTTATAGCCGATGGAAGCCACGCACGGCCGATGAATTTTGATCAGGGACGTGGTGGCCGGCTGAAACGAAAGAAGAAAGCCTCATTATCTAGGGTGACGATGTTTTCACGGCATCGCGGCTCGTCCCTGCGGGACGATTTTGGTTTCGACGTACTTACACGCGCTCTGCCTCCCGTTTCCGGTTCCGAGGCACGGGCCACGCGACCAAGAATTCGCCTTCGTTTCGCTTGTTCGCGACCCAGTTCGAGAAAAAGGGAAATTTTCTACTCGAAACCCTTCAAACTTAATTCTATGAAACTTTGCTTCTTTATCTAGCAGAGGACTCAGGTTCGATTCATCAATGGTGACATTTTTTGAAATTGGTAACTAGTTAGGTGTTTAACTATTACTAGTAGGTAATTATTAGAATACTGTTAATCAGGTAACAATCAGTAGGTGAACTATTGCTACAATTAGTCTTCTGATGAAAATAAGCATTAAGCAATGGTGTATGAATGGTTGCCTGTCAGTTTTGATGTCAGATATTGAGATGGTAAAATAGTATACATTGTAATGCAAGAGTTCAAAGGGTTAAAACGAAGTTCAGAGGAAGGAAACAAGAGACTCATATGGGTCAGAGTTCAGAAACTAGGAGACGATAAATGGATGTTTAAAAACCGACGGTGAAGTGAAACTGCTCACGACGATCGTGAGAAGAGAATCGATGAAAGTAAAAATGGTCGACGAAAGGGGAATAATGGCCACTGTTAGAAACTCGTTGGAAAGTGATTCAGAATTGGGATCGTGCTTGCATAAGATGTCGCTGATTATATCCCGTGATCGTGGAAATCTTGCGGTATGACCTCGACGGAGTATGAGTTGACTCTTGTTTACCTGAGAATTACCATTATTCTGCTGTCGATAAAACAGGCTCGGGCATTTATCTCCGACGCAGCGACGAATGGAACCGTAGAAACGTGAATGACGCGACTGCTTAACACTGGAACTACGTTTCAGTCAAAATGACTGGTTTCAGTGTGTCTGTTTCGCAATTATTAATATCTTCGAAGCATGGAGTATTCGAAATGATTTTGAAAATAAATAGTTTCACTTGAATACTATGATGAATGTCTGAAGAAACCGAAAATAATCTGTTGCTACAATATTCATAACGTTTAATTTGTATTGAATGATCATGCAATATTCGGATACATTGAATAATTTATAGTAATTCTTAAAATGATAAGAAATGATGTGTTGATAATTTTTTATTGATACATTCATTGCTACGAGAAGGGAAATTAATTTAGGTAACAATAAGGTAATCCGTTTCATCTGAGTAGTTTTCATTGTGATTTTGTATGTTACGTAATGTTATGTTGAGACGAGAATACCATGGGGATTTCACTTTTTACATCATTTATTATGCACGAAACAGTAATATACAATGAAACTTCGAGGTAGGCCGATCGAAGCATCGTTCCTTTGTACAATAAACTTAACTTAAAGTTACACTGCCGAACGCAACAAATAAATGGGTATGGCACCCGAGAATGTAATAAATAATGGTTAAACATAGACAAACTCTTACGCCTATCGTTACGAGCTCCTCTTAAAGATATTGCGACAAGCACACTGTCAACAATTCTTCGTTAACGTCGGAAGAAACAGATCTATCCGCAATATCTCCAATATACATTCATGAATTATACAATTAGTCAACAGTTACAGAAATACAAGTAGTATCGAATGCCACGCGATCCAACATTCCACATCCGCATAACTTAGAGAACTTGCTAAAAGATCATACACCAGCCCAACGCAACGACAGCGCAGCGTTGGGCTCGCGTTTCAACGGTTTTTCTGACAAGGTGTCAATGGGCGAACGATTGACACTTCATCAAGAAAATACTTCATCGAACGAACCACTAGAATTCGTCGAATCCCTGAAATCACTTCGTCTAAAATAGTAACTACGTTTCAAAGTAACGGTACTCGGACTCGACGCACTCGCAATTCGCGCCAAGCCAGCGCGAAAGAGAAATTGTTCGTCTATACAATAAAATAATTTATATCCGTAAGAATTAACATTTAAATCGAAGAGAAAGATGCTATCCTCGTTCGATTTAACATTCTATACATTATCCCAAGGAACATAACGCTTCGTTCGCAATTAGTCCCACTGAAAGTTTCAGATCACTCATTCACATTTCATAATACTCATTCTACACTAACAATTTCCGTCAACCCTTCATAAATAATTCTACATGCCATAAAATACAAGAAGAAACCTCATACTCAGTTAATGAGACAAAAGTCTCGTTTAAAAACCCATATCTGTTATAAACATCTACAACCTTATTCCAATCCTCCGTTAACCCAATCAATTAATTACTCTAATCGCGGTAAAGAACCCGCTTTTCAAGACTAACGTTCGCATCCAGTCGGACAAGCGATCTCAAACTTCCAGCGCGCAAACGAAGCGTTCTTCGCACGGTTGTCGCCGTCAAATCGGCGGCAGGATGATCGAGGATCCATCAGCAGATGGAATTCCATTTATCGTCTTGTTCGAGTAATAATCCTTCGACTCGCGGGACCGCCGGGACGGACGGCGCCATTACATCTAGCGGATTGGACCACTTACGCCGGCGCGGCGCGCGGGAGACTTGAACGCCCGCAAAGACGATAGCGCCGGCGCGACGCCCGGTTTCTCTTCTTTTTCAGCGATTCTTCCCTCGTTCGCGGCCAGTCACAAAAATTGTGTCGGTCGGGTAGGCTTACTCGGTATTTATGTGACACGGGTACATTCTCAGGCAATCGCCGCCGTCTTGACCTAATCTCGCAGCGCTCAAGTATCTGTGAAACTTCTGACTCGACGAGCTCTCCGTCCCGGCTTTCCTGAGCTCCTGCGGGTCCCTGCAACAGGAAAATGTTAAGCTTGTTGATGAGCCTCTTGACATCGAGAAACAATTAAGAAGCAATGGCTATAGAAAAGCTTGATATCTCGATGTTTGTTAAGAGAATCTCGACTGTATGAGGTTTCAATGATCAGCTGATTCCGTGGTCGTGTTAATGATCGGTAATCGTCGAAGGAAAGCTCGACCCGATTCATCATTGTTTGCCGGGACAGTCATATTCGTGTCACTTTCGCCACTTAGCGCTACGCTAATTGGATGATCTACGTTTGTTTTTCGTCGGTAACGAGCGGCTCCCGCGCGAGATCGCGATGCTGCATGGCGGAACTAACTATATTGTCTGGTTCGCGATCGCCTCCATTGTCGGCTACGGGGACGGTAGCGGAAAGACCGGGAAAAAAGGGAGCAGGACCGCGTGAAACGCGATTCGACGTTCCGATTCGAGTGATCCGGGGCGGCGGCCACCTTTCTCTTTGTAATCGACGGTCACGGCGATCGAAATTCGAATACGTTGCTCGCGCACGTCCGCGAACGAGCTGATCGATGGGCTGAATGTTAATCGGCAGAGAAATAGTTTTCGGTGATTGGGCAATTAGCGGTTGATCGAACCTTTCCGTTTGAAAGGACGGTTCGAATTGAGTTTCGTGGATCTCCTGGTGGATTTCTGAATTGCTCGGGAATATTGAAATTATTTGAATTATTAACGATAATGGTGTGTGATTGGTGGAAAATGTATGTGCAGGTTGATTAAGCAACTTAATTTCAAATATCGTTCCGTAAGAAATAAGGATTAACACTAGAACTACCTTTCGATTTGTTTGTTTCGCAGTTATTAATACGTTAAAAGCATTGAATATTTGAAATAATTTTTGAAATAGTTTCACTTGAGTACTATGATATCCAAAGAAACTGAAAATAATCTATTACAATTTTTATAGAGATTGCATATCAAATGCTCGGTAGTTCCAGTGTTAAAATTGTGTGAAACAATCGCGGAACGTTAAAGCCTCACGTTCCGCGGATAGAAAATGCAGTCTGCTGTTACTCCAATTAAGTCCACAAAGTCCGGTGTTAATCTAGGCAAGAAACAATTGAAGAAATCCTACGCGTTCTGCAATTATAGAACAGAATGGCAGCAGACTCGTTGAACGATCATTTATTTCCCGTTAAGTAATCAACACGCCGTGTTCCATCGGCCGTATGCAATTTCATAATCGAGTGCCAGACACTTGAATCTTTTCACCTACTTTCCTACCTCTTTTTCTAAATTGCGACCCGCAAAACGATAGAATCCATGAAACGACGGATAAAGCTTCTCAAACCGCGAATCTCGCGGATTTTCCGAGCGCCCAGACGTCCAGCGGATAATAAAGTAAAGGTGTATTTAATCGACAGTTCTCGAATTCCACAAAGAGAAATTCCGTGTAATAATTATTCATCTCCGCGATTTCTATCTCTCCGAAGTCAATTTACCAAGACGACATCCAACGGAAAATCATTTCCTGAATTACCCTAGGAATTTTATGCCTTGATACATAACCAGTCAAACTTTACCCTTTGCACTCGGAAGTTTTTTACTAGAAATATTTTAACAATATCAACAAAATAGGAACAAAGCTATTTTATTTGAATATTTCTCAAAATGATGCATTATAGGAAATGTAATATTAACTATCGAGTTCTATAGTTTTACTGTATGAAATCCAAAGGGTTAGTATTTTAAATGAAACTTCGTATGGCTATAAGAAATATTCCAATAAAATTACTTTGTCTCTTAATTTATCTGTGAATTATCGTTAAATTAGTTTCAAACAGTGTCGCCTGTATCTCGTCGAAAAATGTTAAATATTTCCAGCGAAAATCTTTCGAGTGCAAAGGGTTAATTACCGCCACTAATTCAGTTTCCTCTAAACTTGAATATCTTCAGACATCTCAGACAAAACCTCTTAAAACCAATCCCACAGAATCAACCTTCCATCCTCATTAAAATCTACCACACTAATCCAAAATCTCCCAAAACTCCCAAGCTCCCCAAAGCAACCCAAATCCCATACCCATAAGTCAGCATCAACCTCCATCCTCGTTCCCCTAATTACTTTCACAAACCAGCTCAGAAAACGCGTGAATCAGGCTCGTCCCCGATCCTCCAAAAACGAGTCTCCCCCGCTGGCCAGCGACGTCACAAAGTTTCGTCAGCGATAAACGATCCCACAATCGGAGCCGCGGTCGGCTAACCCACAAATAGCGCGTTCCTTACCTGGATAGCTCGTTGGACACGAGGTTGCTGTGCGGCGAGTAGACGGCCGGGTTCTTGTACATGCTGCAGACGAGCCTCTCCCTGCAGGTTTCCTCGAAGAATCTCAGCTGCTTGAAGATCTCCTCGAGCCTGTTCACTATCGGCCCGTAGAACTCGTCCCCGTGGACCTGTCTCTGCGCCGCGCCGCCCGGTTTCGCCTCGGCCTGGCCGGTCTTCGCGGAAATCTGTCGCGTGTTCTGCCCGAAAACACCGTACGAGCTTTTTACGGCGTTCGCAGCCGGCGACGACGCCGCGCTCGCAGCGTTGACGTTCGTCGCGACGTTGGCGGCGGGATTGTTGTTGACATTGACGGCTGCGCCGGGCGTCTGCACCGTCTGCCGACGACTGTTCTCGACGTAGGCCGAGTAGGCCAGGTTGTGAGCCGACAGTGGTCGTTTGTCGGGGAACGTGGGTGTCATCGGCGCGGAGTTCGCGTATTGGACGGGGTAGCCTGCTGGGTACACCTGGCCAGGGAATGGCGCAGGCAGCACGCCTGGAGCGCGAACCGGAACTGCGGAGGCTATGGGCTCTGGGTCCACTGGCTCCTCGTAGGGCTCTATTCCCCATTCTTTCAGTTCCTCCACGTCCTTTCGGTACTGGATGTGCGGGTGAGCGTAGTCGTAGGTGTCCAGGTCCTCGTCGTGGTGGTGGTGGTGACTGTAGTACGCTGGCACCGGCACTGGCACTGGAACGTGGTGGTGATGGTGCGCGATCTGAAAGGGAGATGAAGTGTAATGGTTTCCTTGTGGGAGTAGCATTAGGGTGGATCGAAATGAGAATCTAGATTCGTTGCATTGTTTCGCAGTTTCTAGTTTTTGTGGGAGGAAGATTTATGGTTCTTATTTCTTATTAATACTTAGCCAACCAAATGTGATGCAGATTAATTTAAAGTCATTTCGAATGTTGAATGCTTTTAATCATGAAGTTTAGAAGCTTGAGTTCACTGCTTGCTTCAGATAAGGTAGAGACGAATCGGGTTATTTTATATTTTACTATAGAAGCAATAATTGAACATTAACACTAGAACTTTCGGTTTTCTCGTTTTGTGTTCATGTTCAATTATTGTTGCTTCTTTTATTTTACTATAGAATTATTTTACTATAGAGTTATGTTGAATTATTGTTGCTTCTTTTATTTTACTATAGAATTATTTTACTATAGAGTTATGTTGAATTATTGTTGCTTCTTTTATTTTACTATAGAATTATTGTTGTTGTTGCTTCTATAGTAAAATATAGAATAACCCGATTCTACCTTATCAGAAGCGAGCAGTGAATTCAAGCTCCTAAACTTCACAATTTCATCGCGAAGCCTACCTGATGATGATGATGATGGTACTTAGTAGAGTGCGACGAATAGTAGCTGGAGCAGAGCTTGAACACGTGCGCGAACGCCGGAATGAAGAACAGCAGGAGCTTAAGAAACAGCTTCTTCGCCGTGCCGATGCCAAACAGGAACGGGATCACGAACATGAACTTCAGCTTGATCAGCTTAATGATCAGCAGCAGCGCCAGGAAGCTAGTCAGCAGCTTGTTCTGTATAAACTTCTCTAAAACAGAACAATCGAATCAATCCCCGAAATCACCCCTTCAACCTCTAACACACCCACGTGAACCTACTAATTTTCTTGAAAATCCTCCCCTGGCTCTCCAAAGCTCTCTGCCCGAAGTCAACCCTGATCAACGCTCCGCTCTCGTCCACCTCCTTCGGGCTGATCTTGACAGCAGCTCCCTCGAAGAAAAACTGGGGCAGCTGAATCTCGTAATCCCTGGTCGCCAGGAACTTCGCCGCCTTCTTTCCAATAGCGTTCGTCACTTCCTCCAGGGGTGACTGTTCCTCGTCCAACCCCCTCCCCCGGTCACTTTCCTCTTCGTCGCAGCCGGCCCCGCTGGACTCCACCAAATTCTCGTCCAGAGGATCCGCGTCCTCTCTCCTGGCGCAAGAGCCGTAATCCAGGTCATTCCTCTTCAGCACCAGCCCGTCGAACACAGTGATGTTCTCTCTGTCCACGAACACGTTGTCCAGGTAAGAGTACGCGTTCCTCTGTATGCAGGAGAACGTGACCGAGCGGTCGCAGTCCCTGAGCAGCCCGTCCCAGAGCGCATTCCCGGTCCCATTCCTCGGCAGCTCGTCCACGCGGAGGATCCTCGCGTAGGACCTTAGCTTCTTGAAGCTGAAAAACCCCGTGGACTCGACGCTCGCGCAAACGCAGACCAACAGGATCACGGTCCTCGGATTCATCTTCGAGGCGCACTGAATCAGCGTTCGCGCACGCGAGCCAGAGGGGAAACAGAGCGTCGTCCTGAAAGCGTAACGCGTTCCGGATGCCGCGATCTCACCGTGGACACGAGGATGCACCGCGAATCGACACTGAACCACGTGCTGGATGCACCGACACTTCCGTCTGCCCCTCCACTGCCTGACCTCGAAGGAACGGTATATAGGACGCCGGATCGGTAGTTCCGTTTTAGGGTATCGATCACTGGAAACAGACGCTTAGTGTGTTTTCGGTCCTGGTCCGCGCGGATCCCGTTGACACGTCCAGGCTGCCTGTCAGATCCTCATCCTTTCTTCCTCTTGTTCCCTGCGCTCGGCCCTCCCACTCTTTTCCTCTCACGAGAGAAGCGCTCCGCTCGATCTCCCGCTCAAAACTAACCAACGAGCTTCTCCGTCTCCCGGCTACAATTCACCTGAGCGTCAAGTGTGTCAAAGGCCCTCCTACTCCGGCCCCGGCTGGCCCGTGGAAGGTCATTATCGTCTCCTCTCCGGCTGCAACCGGCTCCGCGCGGCGTGTCCGATCGCACGCGCACGCCGAGCGGAGCGGGGCGCAACGGGCGGACATGTTTACCGGGGATTTCGGAATTTGTATGCACCGGGACGAGTTTCGGCGGCCACGTTGGACTCGAGCCAGGTGAAAGCGGACAGGGAACGTACGCGGCTGCGTGCCAGCCGGTTTTCGCCGCGAAGCGAATCGTGCCTCTCGTTCTCGCGAGGTTTTGGAGGGAAGCCGACTGGCGCGTGTTGTTTGGGAACGTGGCACGATGGGGATCGATCGGAGGTGTGTTTGGCTTGGTAAATACTCGAGGAGTGGAGGATCGTTTCGGTTGTTCGGCTGAGCTGCTGATTAACCCTTTGAGAAGAATCGTTTAAGGACGCGAAACTTGCAGCATGGGAAGTTAAATCGTGCATCGAATGCTTAGTACACGTGGTATACTAAGTTGCAGACTAACGATTTAATTACTCGAACAATTAGAAATCAATATAGTTTCCTTTCTTTCTGTTTATGTATTGATTTCTCATTGTTCGAGTAATTAAATCGTTAGTCTGCAACTTATACCACGTGTAAATTTCGTCAAACTGTCGATACGCAAAGGGTTAAGATTTTGTAACTAATTTTACTATGGACAATTAGCGAGTTGAAGTAATTTATTATTCACTGTGAGAGTTTATTTTGAGGATAAATGTAGCGAGAGTAGTAAAAACTGTTGGTTTCGTAAAATGTATAAGTTATATGCTTGAATATGATTGAATATATAATATGGTGTTCTCGATAAGTTATGGGAGAGTTTGAAATATTTTGCAAAAGAAGCAATATCGTAAATTGCAAAGCAGAGGCTGGATTATTTATTAACTTGGTACTTCACTGCGATGAAGTTGAATACACAAGCGAGGCCTAATGATGGTTGGACATAATTTGTGAAGTACAAAAACTGACGCTCGTAAAGCTACACTTTAGTCATTTTTATCGAATATGTTTATAATGAAGGGTATAATGATAGAGAACTTGCGTCTCCTTAGATTCCCCTTTATCGCGAATAAATTTGTGATAGTATCAATTTGCATAAACACCTGCGATCAAATATGATTACGTCGCCTGTAATATATTCCTAATATTACATAAGAAGTGCCAACATAGGTAAAAACAGGAGCAATAACATATTACAACCGAAGACAACAAGTACAGAGAAACTGTATGTAAATTGAGCGCTCTCGTTGCGAACGGTCGCGCCTACCACGCATCGAAGTCTCCAGGAATCTCAACGTCCTATCGCTCTTCAAACTCAATTCCAGAAAAATCAGCTACTCCATCGAATCAAATTCTTTCCCAGTTCAATACACACTTTCTTCCGAACCCCAAAATACCAAACAAAACATTCTAAACTAAACATTCCTGTAAATTTTCCTAAACAATTCGATCAAAGAACACATACGCGAACGATTTCCTATACTTAATTCTCACATCGGTGCCATTAATAGGTTGAAAATACTGCGATGAAAACGAATTTCTAATGACATTCCGATTTTACTTCTCCCCAACGATTTCCAGAAGCGATGAACGCGCGCAAACTGCGGCCGCGGCGAACGAGATGCGCAAAAAACGCTCCAACGAACTCGAAAGAATTAACGCCAGCGAGGAATGTTTACGTTCCATCAAACCGGTCCGCTACGATCTGGCAAGTGATCCAGTTAAGAGACCGTTCGTCGATTACCAATGGCGGGACGGCAACGGAGTTCCACGCTGCGCGCGGAAAATGAGTCGCGCGTCGTCGGCTTTCGACGATTTCCGAATCCGCGGCGAACGAGAATCGACGGAAAAAAAAGTGGAACGCGAGAGTGAAATTCGGAACGAACGGAGGAAAACAACCGGCAAAGAAGACCGCCACTCGGAATATTAAGTAACATAATCTAGCCGTAACTTTCTGTATCCAGGTTAATTGCCGAGGAGGATGCCGCAAAATCTGCGTTCCACTGTTCGCAGTTCCTACTCTTTCGCTTGTACGAATATCCGAAAAAGAAGAATAAATGGTTGCCGGTAGTTGCGACTCTTATCTGGAGCAGTTCCGACGCCACGAGGATACGGAAACTTTCGTCCTAGAATTAATTAATAGGTAAATCGATTTTAATGGCAGACGAGTTTCTTGGTCATTCACTTTTCTCTCATTGGACTCGTCGACGGTGCGCGTTCACTTTACGACGTTGTTGTTCGATTTTTTCTCGCGACTCTCCAGTGTTCGCGAGAGTTTACCGCCTCGAAATGTAGATTTAGCACGGAATTAATTAGGCTTCAATATTTAACAGCTTTCTTCGACACCGCTGAGTGACATATGAATGGAACCAGCGAATAATAAAGAGTGTATCATCGTTAACTGTACATTTAATAACGGAATCTGTTTCCTAAGGAACAATTGAAACTGTTGAATGATCCAGTTTATTTTAATTGATACACTCAACACTGAAATTCAAAGCTTCAATTTGTGGAGCAAATATTTTAACCTCAGTCTATTTATATCATCAGTGCATTAACATCAGAAGCATTTCCAACGTTTCTCTTCCGCAATTAACAACGTACATTGTCACACATTTATCTCCCAGGCGATCTCTGTAGTCTCTTAACTACTTAATAATGTAATTCCCAGCTTCCATTAACGTAACATTATCCTCGACTTGCCGGCTACCCTCTCACGCGTAGTGTGGTTAATTATTCCGCGCAGAATCCATTTTCCGCCGGCATTTCAGCCGAACGAACGGGGACCGTGAAGAGCGACGTTCGTTTATGACGAATCGGTAATCCTCGTGAATTTCGTAACACGGAGCGTTCGTTCCCACGCAGTTCGATCGCTGTTGCCTTTTTCTCGGCGCGAGAGGAGGAAGTTGTCGTTAAACGTCGATGCTGCTACGAATCCTCGGACATCCATGCCTCGGGGTTTTCACTAATAGATCGTTGGTGAAGGTGTTCCCATTAGCCGGCACGGCAGCGCAGCGGCAACCTACATTCGCCCGGAACGAACGATAACACGTTATCGCCGGCTACGCGCCGCCATTCTTGTCGACGACGGGAGGAAGTGATTTCAGTGTCGTTGCGCGATGGGAAAATCTAGCCTCGGTATTACTATCTTCCGTGTGAAACGCTGCGATTCCGATTATACACGTGATTCTATTCTCAGATATCCTGCTGGGTGTTGTAGTGAACTATAGTTAATCTACCAACGAATTCTATACATCTCGATATTCGAAATATTCCTTGCTCCAGATCATTAGACTAAAAATGATAGCAAACTCTAAAACTTCAGATAAGTTCATATCTTATTCCAAGCTTCATTAAAGCTACAATAATTAAAAGTTTGTATATTCCATAACGCCTCATAACAAGCGAATAACACTTAATTTTAATCCATGAAATTATGATTTTGTGAACTATGTTATTCACTTGTTACGAGACGTAGAATGTATAAGCTGATTACAGTGGAATATACGACTATTAATTTATTTGAGAACATTTGAGGATTTAATATTCTCAAGACATTGAACAATATTTCATCGAACCATATGCGATGGTATCCAGCAATGGAAACAAGCTGCTTCGTTACCAATGACGTCATCGAGAACGATTTTCCGTGTGGACGACAGATCGTCCCGGAAGAGTCGGGTGGGTCAAGGGAACTGAACGGAGATCGCGGCCCGTTCGGATGAATTCCATTGACCTACTATCGGCCTGACCGGCGGATAGGCAGGTGGGTTGAAGCCCCGCAACCGGCTCGCGCGTTCTTCGATCGCCGAAAAGCGATCGCGTGGCCCGATCCGTTCACAGAAAAGAAATCTCTCGCGCGGTGCTTACCGTGTGCGCCTCTCTTAACCGGCAGTTCCTCCTTTTTACCGCGATCCTCGACACCCATGGAGGAACAAGGGGCGCGATACATTCTAAAACAGCCTAGATCATCGATGAGATGATCTAGATAATCGCGCACCTTCATTTTTACGGAATACCGATTAATTCTTCAACCTATCGCTTATTTTCTCGTCGACTGAGGATTTTTGAAATTCAAATTTGCTAATTTAAACACTAGGAATGAAGAAAACTTCTGTTTGTCACAGAATTTTCCAGGAAATTCTCTTTAAATCCTTTCAGATGAGACAAGATTATTTAAATATCTCAGAATTAGATGTCTAAAAAGATTTTTGTAGACTGAGGATTATAGAAATTCAAATTTACTAATTTAAACACTAGGAATGAAGACTTCTGTTTGCCACAGAATTTTACTGCCATTCCAATAGTCTTTGTCAAAATATATTTCACCAGTGTCTAACGTATATTCCAGGAAATCCTCTCTAACTCAGATCAGACAAGATTATTCAAGCATCACAGAATCAGACGTCTAAAAAATTCCAGAGAGTCTCCAGAACCTTCAACCGTGTATTTCACAGGAATTCGCATGTTCTATGGAAATTTCTATCGCGTCGAG